TTTTCGTATTAAAAAAATATTTTGTGTGTGTGAGTACGTGGAAGTTCCTGAAGACCGAGTGTAATCGATTGTAGCATATTAAAATGTAAAAGAAACCTATTAAAAGTCATTTTTCGTACTGCTCTTCACTTCCTCGTCCGGGGATTGACATTGGCCCTTCCCCAAACTGGTAAAAGTGAAAATCACTACGGAAAACTATCGTTCACGACTAGTGCCGTAGGGTTTTTTCACTTGCGTGGTTGGCCAGTTCGCTCCTTGGGCTCGAACACCAACCCGTGCGAGTGAAACAACCCCATCACAGGGCACTAGCCCTGATATCTCCTATAAATGAGTTGAACTAATTGATTAATGTTTATTTATCCTCTAAATACTTGGGTTCACGTGTGTATATGCGTGTCAAAGATGCAGTGTTTACTTCTGTTCACATAAATGAATATAATATCAAGGCAAACATCGATATTAGATGCAGATTGTTGCAGTAATAGATAGGGAAGGATCTTCTATAGTGTTTTCTGCTTCGGTAATTTAATAATCGCTGATAAAACGAGAAAAATCTGCCATTTCAAGTTCTCAAATTCCGACATATCCTATAGAAATCTCAGTAGCAGATGCTATAAGCAGTTTTATTGGAATAATCCGTAAGGGGTTATAAACATGCTCTAAGGAAAATTCTATAGAATATATGAGATTTTATTTTTATAGAGAAGTCTTTCAAATACGATTTTCGAATCTCTATAGGACATTTATCTTTAAGGATATTTCCGATAGAAATTACTACATAGGGAATGGTAGAATATTCTATAGAGCAGACAAACAATTTTATAGCCGATATGAAAAATACTGTTTTTCTTTTATAAAATTATAATTTTCTAGAAAAATTGCCCCTTTTCTACGGAAATTCTATAGCATGGTAGATCATAAAGGATTCTTTTTCTATAGAAAATATATCTTCACGGATATTTTGAATATAAATTCCTTCAGGGGATGCTAGGACATTCTATAGAATAGACGTAAAATTCTGTAGCCATTTTTTTCAAATCCATCTTATAGATTTAGCCCTATAAGACTGATACCTTGGTAAAACAAAGAATTTTGTTTTTATAGAATATGCAGCTTGAGGGATATTTTAAATATAAATCCTTTCAGGAAATGTTAGAATATTCTATAGAATGAACAAAAATTCTCTAGCCGTTAGTGAACATCTATCTTATAGATTTTTTCCCTCCATAAGACTACATTCTATAAAAAATCGGCTTACATCATCTGTCTATAGAAAATTCTATAATCTGTTGGAATGTTTATAGGAAAAGTCTACAGTCAATTTCATAGAATTATAATTTTTACTATTGGAAAATGTAGTATTCTTACCCGCTATCGAAAGTTTCTATACTCTGTGCATTGGCTATAGAAACTGGACTCCTCTCTTGAAAAATTCTCATCAAATTTATACAAGTAACTGTCAAAATTTGACAATTTTTTTTCACTCGATCAGAGTTGACACTGAATGTCAAAAAAATTGATTTATCTCGTTTTATCAGTCCACTAATCAATAATTCGGGCAAACACACGTGAATATTCAATAGGAAACATCGTCGAGGGAAAAAATATGCGTCACATACGCAGTCCGGTATCAAATATCAAGGAAATTACAACGAATAAAAACAACTATAAACGATAAAAATCTAGTGACTGATAAAATATTGACTAGATTTACATTGAGAAAATAAAAAAAGTGGAAACAATTTTTTGTTCTGGTGTTTTTTTCAATGCTCTGAAACCGTTCCCGCTATTTTTTTTTTACGTATGTGGAGGATTTTCATGACCCCGAAGTTCAAAGGTTTTTCATCTCCCCAATTTAGCATATAAATGAAACTAAATTCAAATCCCACTACAGAGAGAATTAATTTCACTTATATATCGATTCACCCCAAATGGTTTTTCTCGCTCACCGGAAATTGAGACTTCAATTCAATTTTTATCGACGGCAATCGCATATTGCCATTGTATCCATCGTAGAAAAATATCCGATGTTTTTCAGAATTTTTCTAGAAATTTAGAAGACCCTGACTGTAGATTCGCGCTCGAGCCATTCTCCCCGGACGTGACCACCGGAAATGTAATTTCAATGTAATCGTAATGGGCAATTTCGTATAACAGGTAATTTCTGGATATTGGAAATTTTATGTGGGGGTGCAATTCCCGTGCACTTCCGATTTTCCTCGTGTAATGAAGTTTTTCATCAATTCCCATCTAGTTTGCGAGCGTTCGAGAACCAAAAAAAACTTATGACGCAAATTCATCTATTCCAACGAATCGAAAGAAAAATCTTATTAAAAACTGCCGCAGAAGCTCAAGAAATGATTTGTTCGGCTTTGAAAGAGAGCTATATATTTTATAGTACAGGTAAAAATTGATTCAAAAAATTTCGGGATGGAAATTTTGATCTCCCGGATGAAGAACGTCCTGGGCAACCAAAAAAGTTGAAGACGAGGAGTTGGACAACCTACTCAATGAAAATCCCGGTCAAACACAACAGGACCTCGCTGATACTCTCAGAGTAACTCAATCAGCTATTAGGTGTATGAATTAATTCTCGGCCTCTAGATTAAAGTAGCTCTACCCTTAGGAGGTTATATTTCAATTCAAAGATTTTTAAAAACTACAACAAATCGCCTAAAAACTCTGTGTGAGTTATTGTTGCCTGCATTAATAACATATGAGAATAGAAAAACTCAATAACTTATGAGAATGCAATAAATTAAGTCATTTAGAATTCTTTCCGGAAAACCATAGGGACTAATTTTTGGGTGTTATTGTCTTGGGATATACCTTAAGTGATTGATATGTTTCAGATATTAGAAATTCTTTATCTCAGTCTATACCAGAAAACTCTAATCAAATAAAGAAGGAAAATAGAAATTGTTACGTTCTACCATTTCCGTCTGCAGCAAAACTCAAAATCGAATCGGGAACCTGTACATCATGTATTCGAATGTTATTGGTGGACATTTACGTCAGGAAGAGAACGTGCGACAGTCCTTGCGGGATAAGTAAGGGGTGCCATCTCATCACTGTGCAGTATATACCAGATAACGTACAATCGATCTCAGCGGGAGAAGTGATAAACGAAAATTTTTCTCAATGCAGGACCGCCCTGGAACAGGGATGCAAAAATGTGATATGACCCGTCACTCACCGGTAATATGACACATAACGGTCATGGACAACCATGGCAATCTGCCGCCACGTGACAAAAAAGTGACTATTTTACCATGTGACCATCACATGTCATCTATTTAGCACCTCAGGTGGTACTAGTTCGAAATTCGAAAATTTCCGCATGATAATCGCCATCGATCGACAATCACAAATAATTCAGTGTTCAAAAAGTTGTCAATCGATGGGCAAAAATGTCCTGAATAACATATCAAAATGTTTAGAGAATGTTTAACTGGGGTATTATTTAAATTAATTAAAAACCATCGATTTTCCAAGTGTTAGCGCCAAAAACACTAATATTTTCCGCCCAACTCGATCAATTCCAAAACAAAAAATAACAGCATGCACTGTTAGAAAATTACTCTTGAAATTTCAAGTGAAAAAACTTGTAATTTTTCACAACGACAAAGTTATATGAAATTTCTATAGAATTCGTCATTGACGAATCAGTTAATTTCGTGAATAGTCAAGTAATTCTCGATTTTCCGGTCCGTACGGCACTGAAAAACCCTGACAATTTTGAAAATTCAGGCAATAACTTCTCTGAATTATCAATCGATTGAAAATTGAATTGTATGTGATGTTCAATTTTCACGATGAGTTTAAAAATTCAAGCTTTCATTGAAAAATGAATGATTTTTAAAAATGATTATTTTTCACAATCGGATTTCGACCAATTAGAGCGCAGTATTTGAGACTACCCGACAGTTTTATTTCGGATATTTCCTTCTAGCTTTTGAATACTTCGCAGTAGCTCTTCATTCTTTCGGCTCATTTCAGATCCAATCTTATATTTGACCGTCTATGGAAATCGGGTTATTCTATTAACATAAGTGATTCAAATCTTCCCCAATTCGCCTCCTGATGTTGTCCACTGCGCTCTACTTGGCCAAAATCCGATTGGGAAAAATAATCCGACAAATACCCCTCGAAATTCAAAATTATTCAGGTATTTCCCTCAAGCTCCCCTGCAAACAAACCATTGAGCCAAGTTTTGCAGAAAAATCCCTCGCGCAAGCACTCGGGATTTTTTAACCTGCAAAACTTGACACTCTCATTTGTTTCCAACGAAGCTATCGGGAAATTTCCGATAATTTTGAAGCTCTTCGCGTAAGAACTACTGAGAAACCCAATTTTCTTGAATTTTCAAGATAAATGAGAAATTTAGTGAACGTTTTCATTTGGAATTGCATTCGAACTCACAACACTAAAAATTCAGATGATATTGTGACTGAAATTTCAAGAAATTTCTAACAGTGTGTTGAGAAGAAAATTATCTGTAAATTTGATGTGAAAACCAGTATTCTATAATAATACATTGTTTTTACATAAATATTCGCTTTTCGAAAATTTTCGATCTCTGCTTTAGATTCAGGAATGTTTAGTGAACCTTATTTGATATTCTTCGTTTCATCACTTCACCCCTGATTTACCCTCAGGATGATACAAATAAGTTAACGAGCACTGCTGCACGAAGTGAATACAGGGGCAATATCTCAATGCCCGCGTCATACAGAGTGACAATCACAACCAGGGGGGTGTAAATACTTGAGGGAAGAGTGAAATTGTATAAATACAAAATTCGTTGATAAACAGAGACATCGGGAGGTGTGACGATTTTTCTCAATGGTGATGCTCCAATCAAATGAAGTGAAGATGCAACATAGATGAGGTGGTGATAAGAGGAATAGGGGGAGAGGTAAGTAAACAATGTACGAGTCGTCGAGGTCCATGTAGCGCTGAAGAGGGCCGGAGGTACTTACCCTGTGCATCATACTTACTGGAAAAGTTCCTCGTTGCTAACATGGTCGTTAATATAGCGCCCTGTTGACAGAAAAATGAAGAATGATAAGGATCAATTATTTTTTGAAACACGTGCTTGGAAAAGTCCCTCTTCATTTACACATTTTTGGGCATAAAGAAGTGGCACTTTTCTTAACTTTTACGATAGTAATCGAGAAGTGACTTTTTGTTTACGGAATTCATTTTTTATTTACAACAACTGTAATCTTATTGGGTAATATATTTTACCGTAATATTTAGACCCGTAACCCCTTATAACCATTCAAGCTTTCTAATCCTTTTTCTGATGGCATCTCCTCCTTTCTCTGGTCACACGGGAGAGACGAACAAAATTATCAGAATATCTATCTTGATCTGCCGTTTTACCTTCATGATAATTTGACCGATCTGGTAACTCTGTTCATCTCTCCTGAAGGGTCAAACCTTCTTAAAGGTTAAACGGAATAGACGAGCAGAGTCATCAGAAGAGTCAAACAATCATAAGGGTCAATCGGGAGTGTTGAGCAAAATAATTTGGGGACTCTCTTGCTACCTCAGTCGACCTTTCTTGCTACCCGTTTGACCTTCTGGGCGAGACGAGCGCAGTTATCAAAAGGGTCAAACTATCATAAGGGCCAAGTCAAAGGGATGGGCGGAGTTGTTTGACCCTTCAAACGGGAGTCGTTTGCAGGGTCAAACAATTTTTTTTATGGCATCTCCCGGTTGACCCTTACGAGTATTTGACTCTCCTGATAATCTGGTCTCTCCCTCGCTCTTTCGTTCGACCCTTCCGATAATTGCGCTCGACTCTCCCGGGAGGTCAAACGGGGGAGATGGGTGGGGTTATCGGAAGAGTTAAACTATGTTAAGGGTTAGGTGGATAAAGAGACAGGCGGACATGTCAGAAGGCGCAAATGAGAGAGTTGAGCAATTAGAAGACTTTCCTTGCTCTCCCGTTTGCCTTTATGACCGTTCGACCTTTTTATTCTGGCATCCCCGCTTGACCCTGACTATTGTTGGACTCTCCTGATATCTTCACCCATCGTCCGCTTAACTCTTAAACACGTTTGAAAGGGTCAACGTTCTTAAGGGTCATATGAGAGAAACGAACAAAGTCATCGGAAGGGTCAAACAATCATAACGATCAAACGCGAGAGTTGAGCCAAACAATCCGAAGCCTGCATTCTGTTTTTAACTTTCGACTTTTATGATCATTTGACCTTGCTGAACCTTTTTCCGCATCTCCCGTTCGATTCTCCGCCTGTCTCTTCGTTACTCCAGAAAAACAAATCCGTAAATTTGACAATTTCAGTACCAAGTGTTGTTATCTCGTAATTATCTCAGAAACGAGTCGTCTCACGACAAAATGCCATTTGACCCTTTTTGTACAGAACAAAGTTTGTCACAAAAAATGTTTTTACAAGAATTACGCTATCTCTCTCAGATTCCGAGGTATTCTCCAAAGACTCATCGATTCCGAAGTGAATGTCCTTTCCTTTTATCATTTCGCGCGAGGCATTGACACTTCATTATGTCGTTTACTTATAATTTCAATATCATTAACTACCTCCGAAACGATAGGCGATTCCTGCATGCATTGCTCAATTCTTCTACACGTCCTCATGCCATCGTTCCCCGCGCAGTGTCGACAGCACGCGGAAAACGGATTATAACAACAGCAGTAGCCACATCCCGAATTAGAATTAAAAAATAACTTCGACATAAGCAACCACAAACTACTGCTAAAACAGCCGAAAATACATTTGATACGTCTGAGGAATTAACAGACATCGATTGAGTAACGGGACGGGAGCGTCTTGATCGATCGACGATCCGAATCGCACTGACGATCATCACAATGACCATTAGGCGTCGCTAACAGGGCCGTATGTGTAACCCCAGTATGTGAGGCCGACTCGAGTAGATAACAGCGCGATAATTAAGGACGTCAGTGCATAAAATGCCTTCTTTCGAAATTTTTTCCATTTTTTTCAACAAAATATTGAAGACATGCCCCAGCTTTTGGAAACATTGCATTTTTCATCTAGGAATTTGGTCACTAGAGGGAGAATATCTTGTTGGATAAAATAATTTTATGCATTATGAAAATCAGTTCATACACCAAGAAAAATGATTTATGTGAATCCAATAAAGTTTATTTAAGGATGTTTATCCAAAATCGCAAGTACTTAAAAAATAATTGATTTTTTTTAAATTGAGAGATGAAGATATTCCCTTCACTCTGATACAAATTTCAATCCACCAACCCATGTTCATTATTTAGACATGAAATAGACAAAATGCATCACATGCATGCGCGAACATGCACTTATATGGGATAAAATCATTCGAATATTTCCTCTTTTTGCCCGGGTACCCCAGATGTTTCTCTGGCCATTGGATTCAATATGATTTTACACATTACCTTCTATTTTTAGAGTCTTCTAGTAGGTGAATTAGAAATTTGAACATAAATTTCATAAGAGCCCGTGTATAAAGAAAAATTAGTTTATTCATTTCTGCCGAGACAATTGCGATTAATTTTTTTTAATGTTAGAGCAGTTAGTTTTATAGGTTCTGCTGTTAGCCGAAAAAATTACCGAATTTTCCTTGACCATGAAAAAAAACACCTTTACCGACAATTTACCGACAGTGCCAAAACATCCTTAAATAGTATTAAATAATTTTTTTTTCAAACTGAATAAAAATTTGTATTCGAAGTTTTGTTTATATCAAATAAATATTCTTTTGCTATTAATAAATCTTTATTTGATCCAAATAAATTCTTCACTTGTGTCAAATAGACAGTTTTCCGGTGTTAAAAAAATTTCATTTGAATCAATTAAATTTTTTCTTTAACTTTAAGGGGGGGGGGGAGGAGAAGAAATTTCTGTTCTATAGGTTCACTATCAAGGAGACGATGGTGAAAGAAGTTCGTATATACTGGAGGAAAGAGTGCAATCAAAAATGGGATCAGAATGATTTTACACTTAGAAGACAAGAGTTTTTTGAGAAATACGTCTTTATTTGTATCAAGAAACTCAACGCTCAAAAATCACTGATAGAATAAATCATTTATTCCAAACGAGATTCGTTAATTATTAACGAATGGTAGAGTTGAAACAAACCAAATTATTCGTTAATAGTTAACGAATGAATCACCTGAAAGGTGAAAGTTAAACACGGAAATCTTTGGTCTCGTCTCAGTGTCGAAATACGCAGTATCGGCTCCTCTCGTGACGACTTCGAGTCAATTTATCACATCTCGGTCTCAAGTTTTTCGTGCTTTTTAATGTAAAATCTCAGATTTTGTCTTGGTCTATCTCGTCTCGGTCTTCTACATATAAAATACGCGAAAACTGGGAACCGAGATAAGAAAAATTGACTTGGAATCATCATGAAAGGAGTCGATACTGCGTATTTCGAGACTGAGACGAGACCAAAAATTTCCGTGGTCACTGAGACCGAGACAACCCCTCCAAAGTATTGTCTCGCGATGTCTCGTGAAGTCTCTCGCGGCATCACTATTTTCATAAGGTGTTGCCAAGACGAAAATATTTTATAAGGAAAGAAACTTTTCATCAAAAGATGTTCTACTTGTTTGAAAGATAAGGGACAATTCGTTCGCAACGGGAAAGTGAACCCACTCAAGCAATTTTTGCATTAAAATATCTTGAATTTGAGACTTGAAAACTATTGAATAACTGGATTGATTCAACTCGACTTGGTTTGAGAAATCACTTTCTCATCATAAACAAATTATCCTCGTCTTTGGGACAAGTATAAAATCTCTTGACGAAAGTTGTTTCATTCTCAGTACCAAATATTTTCTTCCCGTCAATTTTCGAGCCATGAGTTTCTTTATACAAGTGAAGACGTACTTATCAAGAAACTTTTTTTTTCTCAGTGATATGTGAATAGAAAAAAGCTGACGACTGACTGAGCAGTTAATGAACCAAGTACACGAATGAAAAAATCGTATAAAAATTTTCGATATGGATTGCGTATAGAATTTCTATAGGATTTTCGCATATGATATTCGGATATTTTTATATGGATATTTTTTATACAAATTATTTCTATACGATTTCTATATGTTTGACCCTAAAGGACTCACTGCCACATCTATAGAAAAATTTCGTATGAAGTTACGACATTTCTCTACGTTTTTCTCTAGAGCATTAGATATCTTCCGTATGAAAACCAAAATTTATGTAAAAATTTATGTATAGAAATAATTAGTATAGAAAATATTCGAATAGAAATCTCCGAATATCATATATGGAAATCCTATAAAATTTCTAAACGCAATCCGTATAGAAAATTTCTATACGATTTTTTCATACGTGTAGTTTATCGTCTTTCCCGGAAATCGAGGAAATCGAGGACTTTCAGTTTCAATCACTCCATCAACAGTCTTAATAATATTATCTATTAATCCCCTCCCGCATCAATTCAAATACTAGGTGAATTGATATTGCAACCCGTGAAATTGGGGTGATTGGCTTGTGCAAACAGTCCTCGGTGTTTGTCGATAACTCATGGTAATGAGTAATTTGTGTTTCTTCTTGTCACCGCTGCAGATTACACGCGACCTGATGTTATTACGGACGAGGTCTTTGGAATAATAAGTTCGCAGGAAAGTGAATATGTTACTATGGATATTGAGTTCAGTAGTGAACTGTTAAAGTAGTGTGAATGAACTCCAGTTGAGTCGTGGAATGTAACGAGTAGAAATAAATATAAAATGCCCAAGAAAATGATTATTCTTCATTAATAATTTTTTATAAACAATTTAAAGATTCAATCCACTGAATTCTTCCTTCAATTATTCATTCAAGGATAATCGGGCGAGGAGGAAATGTAGGAGGTGAGACGGAGGGGTTTCTATTGTTTTTCTGCAGAAAACCAATCGCTGAACAAAAAAATTTTTCCCATTCGGATTCAAAATTCAGGCAATATTAGGGAGTATTTTTAGAGCTAATCAAATTTATTTGTATCTATTCCACGCATTGAATGGTTTTCAGATTGTTTTTTTTAAT